CTGTATCATTATCTGAATCAACATCTACAGTAAGCTGACTTTTACAGTAGCAGTTGGATTCTCATTCAGGATAAGTGGAAACAATTCAATTACAGTAGCAGTGGTATTTTAAAGGATTTATAACACTTTTAAAAAGAATCTCAAGAAACTGGTTTGGAATAAAAGTAAGTGTAGATACAGGAAAGTTGATGGACTTTACTATACTCAGATTATAATTTCTATTTTACTCTTTACCTATGTAGACATTCAGGTCCCCCTCCAACTCTGTTTATGTTTCTCCTTTCTGTCCTTCCTCTACTCTTTAAGTAAAAAATACATGTTATATATAGATAAAACCTCTCCAGTGAATTTTAATCAGTTTTTCTTCTCTGCACAGTCCCTTCAATCTGAGTATGTTCAGTACTAAAGCCTTGCTGCTTTGGTGAAACCTGCTGAGTTCTACAAATCACTGTCCTTCATGATGGAGAGGAACTGAAGAGAAGCTGCTCTTTAAAAGGAGGAACCTTCAATACAAGATGTATTAAAACCTTAACACCGAGAGGAAACTTCTTAACAGGCAGAAATTTATTGTTAATGACTACTGCAGATGCACTGAATTTATGGAAATTACTACCCCATGTTATATACAAATTTAAATTTTTTATGTTGAGATAGCTTGAATATATTTCTAATGAGTTTCATTAAGACATTTATTAACTTGTGTACAGTGTTAAAATGTGTATTAAAAGAATATTTTGGTAAACTATATATAAAAATTATGTAAAAACTAGAATATATTTTAATTTAGGGTCTACTTTGCTACAAAAATGTGTATTTTAAAGAATTTGTACATGTTTATCAAAGAAATTTTTTTATGAACAAGAGATTTTTCTTGTTTTATGGTCCATCATTATTGCTTAGAGCCTAATGTAATTTACTTTTTTACTAATTGGTCTTCTGGTAATTTGATGGAAGTCTAACTAGTGAGAGACTTGTTATTACAATATCAACTAAAAGCACTTGACACATAGTCTGCTTTCCATTTCTAGCTGCTAACGTTTCTTAAGGAAACACTATGAAAGAAAAATAAAGGGAAAATATTTGTTGAGATGTGATGTAATTACATCTTCTACTGCAACAAAAAAGTCATTTATGTGATGACTCAATTGTACAGTTAACACTCTTTCAATTTGTCTTAAAGGATTTATGTTTTGTTTTCAATGTAGAGTGTTAACTTTTGCTATGCAATATATTCTGCAAAAATGAAGGCAGACCAAACTGAAGTTGGTAAAAATGTACAATGAATTAGGTAGCACTGAATACTTGCATGCTTTTAACCTATATTTGGCAGTATGTGTATCATTTCCCTAGCAACACACAGTAAATGTTGGACATATATTACATTTCATCTATCAATTGGATGCTTCATAAACCTTTACATTTGTTGTTAAGCATAGGGCTGAGGTAGCCTCTGTATCATGGAAGGTTTTTGTCATAGTAAAGATGCTCTTTACTCTGGAACATTCACTTCAGTCAGATGTGATTAGGAACGAGGCTCAGGATGAAATGGTGTTACAGAGTGGTACTAAAGATCATGTGTAATTTTCAGAACTCACAAGTGCATGGTAAGGAAAAGAATATAAGCAGCTGTGAGGGTTTGATTTGCCCCCATGTACAAGACAAAAACAAAACGGATTTGTTACCTGTTTGTTTTTCCAACATATGCAGAAACTTGAAAATAAAATTTAGTTGAATTGTCAGTGTTTGTTCCTGAAACCTGTGAATACCCTGCATTTGCTTTACAACTGATGTTACTGTGCTACATTTTTTAAAAGGATCAGATCACTAATTGCTATGGAAAGTTGTACTGAAAGTGTTTAAAAGCAATACTGAGAGCAGCTATAAAAATCAAAATCACTGAATAAAATTTACATGCAATATTATATGGTTTTGCAACTGTATATATGTAACATATGCACACAAAGTAGCATATATATACAATATACTGTATATGAATTGTAGATTAATGGTAAGGTAATGCTACCTCTCAAAGAATTTTCTCATGTACTTTGTTATAAATAGTTTTTCTTAATAAAATACTGATTAATTTTGAAATGTAGATATATATACATACAGCTAATTGATAATAAAATGCCTGTATAAGCCAGCTTCCTTGTTTCTTGGTTTTTTTCTTAGATCTTTTAATGATTTGATCTCTAATTGAAGATAACTCTTCAAAATCACCTTCTTTCCTGTAAACCATGTAATATACTTAAAAGTAAGATGACATTACAAAAGGCATTAGCAAGATAGATGCCTTTTTTAACAATCTCTCTAAACCTTCTTGAATTTGCTTTGTATAATGTCAGGTATTTAATCAACATGTTGATATTATAATGATGAGATTATATTTCAAAATACAGTCATTTCAAAGCTGTTTCTGAGCTGAGGAATCCTTCCTGGGTGAGGCCCCTTGCTACAGGTGTAATATACCTTGACTTTTTTCCATGTGCAACAGTTCTCTTAGTCCCACAAACAGCAAGTTCTTTGTGCATAAGAATCTAAACAACTTAGCTTTCTTTAGCTTTTTGTACTTCCTTCTTTAATTTAAAACTAGTCACAAATTGTTCTAACATTTGTTTACCTCTGTTGCTGATTTTCAGCAAATTTGTTGCATTACATGATTATTTGTCTATTATTTATTAGTGCTTAATATTCCTGTCAGCCTCTCTTTCAACAGATGTGGACAGTGTGTAACTGTTTCACAGCCACTCTAAAAGAATGGGAAGGCTGGGAATAGAGCAGATGCTTTCCAAGTTGACCAAATTCTGGTGACAGTCTGATCTAAAAAGATAACAAGAGGTTTCTGCCATTACATTTGGATGAATGATGATTTGAATGTGCAGAGTAAATAATATACAGGAAGAACAGCTAATTAAAAGATTTGTAATACATAGGAATCAACCTCTCCCGTGGTCTTTTTCTAGACTCTTTTTGATTTATTAGGTGAAATGCATAAATACCAGATAATACATAAATATATTATTATACAAAAATATCAACTTTTTTTTTATTCATAAGTCAGTATTCTGCAACAATCAACTTCTTAACAAGAAAAAAAATTGGAACAGTGAAAGGTCAGGAAGGTCTTTTAGAACCTTGTAGCTTTTAAGAAATAGCCTGAAATTTATTTCATATCCTGCATTGACTTTCCTTGAACTCTGCCATTTCTTTTCCTTCAAATATGAATATATCTGGTTCTGAGACAACAAGATGTAGCACACAAGATCTCTAAAAACATCAATGGATGGATTAAATAAATCTAAAGGTGTTTACTGGGCATAATATTCTGTGGCTAACATCTTATGAAACAGTTAATCATCGTCATCTCTTTTAAAGTATGCATTATGAAGCTTTTCAGTTAGGGAGATATTTCTTGTTACAAATTCAGAGACTATTTTTCAATTACAGTACTGCAGAAAGAGGAGGATTTTAGTTTCTATAATAACTGTTCTTTACTGACAGCTAAACAATGAAAGGCCTCAAAAGGTTTGACACTTGATTAGATCTACACTGTGAAGTGCAGCAGGCAAAAAATATGGTAATTAAGGGCCTGATCAAGTAAATCACTGAGCTATGTCTTTAACCTTAAGCATATGAACCATTAATTAATTAAAAGTGAACATAGATATTGATGTTTGTAACAAATCCACCTTTGGATCAATATTTCTGTCAATTGTTAACATAAGCCTTTTTGTCAAATAAAAGATGTGCTGTATTGCAACATCCATTAACCCACACAAGTTAACATTTTTAACTTGAAAAAATGTATATTGCAACTATAACTACTTCCTAATACGTTATTTTGATATTGCCATTTGTTAGCATTAGGAGTTTAACAATATCTAAAAATGCCTTATGAAGCTCTCTGGTACAGGTAATACCTTACAAGCTTTGATTGCTTGCTTTTGTAGCCTGTATCTAACCTACCTGTAAAAGCAGCTTTTTTCTTAAGCTCATCACAAAATTAACCAGTATTCTGTATCTGAAAAGCTTTTTGAAGTAATTGTAAGTTCTCTTACTGTGTTTCTTATTAAGTCTTGTCCAGGTTAAGGACAGTTAACATTTTGTCACTGTTTGAGTAAAGCAGAGTAGAGCTCCTGGGAGAATCCCATGACTAATTATTCTCCATCTGGGAATGGACTGTTCAGTCAGTTTTTAGTCCACCTCAGGAGCTGTTACTCATCTCTCCAGCAACTAATTTTGGAGTGAGACCATTTCAAATACTATACTAATTCTGTGTTATCTGTGTGTTCACCAACACTGGTTTTCACCTCTGACAGAGTGGCAATGCAGGGTTTCCTGTGGGCTGAGACAGGCTGAGGTTTATGAAGAGATGTAAAATGTTCAGATTGAGAACCAGCTTCCTCAAATATGTACTGTCTTACAATGATTGGTCTATTTATTGTGTTTGAAAGATTTCATTTAGAAAGTACATTGTTATTATAGATCAGTTCTAAAATTAACTAAAATTGCAGAAGCATACTGAGCTTTCTCTTAACAAAAATAAGATCATAAAAAAGAAATCTGTTAAAAAGTGAGTATCCAGCAGAGGAATTTCTGCAGTTTATGGACCGTATTTCAGACAGAAGTGACTGATACTGGTTTAAAACCTTGCTGCAAATGAAAGTTGTGTAAATGGGTTAGACCCAGAAGACTGGTAAGGCAGGGAGAAAAGAGTCAGACTGTGTAGTTGGAGTATTTCTGGAGCATGATAGGGTTTGGCTTTTTTTTTTTTTTTCCTTCTTGATTTAACAAGTTGAAAATCTGCTGAATAATTCATGAAGAGTGGAAGGGCTGAATCTTCCTGGAATGATATACAGTGTACGTACTGTGGCACAGGAGAAACTGCAAAGCTTTGTATCTGTTGCTGCCGTTTCTGCTGCCGATTGCAAGGTGCTGCTGCTTTTGCTGTTTTCACAGCTACAGAAACCTCACTCGCGCTCTGGTCTGCCAACAGCCATTTGCCTCCCTATGGACCCACCTTCACCAGCTACAATCTGTGGGCTCTCTTGCTGCCAACCTGCCTTGGACACTGCTGGTTTTTGGATCGTTACTGCAAACAGCATTTTTTGGACCTTACAGCTTGTATGACTGAAACCTGCCTTAGAGTCTCTCAGCTGCACAGCCTCCCGTGTGCTTGGTGAGGACTCCTGCAGCAGAACTTCTGACCCAGACAAGGATGGGATTTACAGGACCAAGTCAAAACTGAGCTGCATTCAGCGAGATGCCCAACGCCTCTTCCTGGAGTGCTAGCTCGCCTCTGCTGCTGCTCTGGGAGGACTCCTCCGGGACCCGCATCTTTCTCTCGCTGCTCTACGCAGTCTTAGCTATCTCAGGGACTTTATCCAATGTGATGGTCATCTATTTGGTCTTCTCCTTCAAGAAGCTGCAGACAACCAGCAATGCCTTCATCGTGAACGGCTGCGCGGCAGACCTGAGCGTGTGCGCCCTGTGGATGCCCCAGGAGGCTGTGCTGGGGCTGCTGCCCCCCAATTCCTCCTCCCTTCGCTCGGCGGAGTACCGGCTGCTCCGAGGGGGGCTCCTGGGCCTCGGCCTCACCGTCTCCCTGGCCTCGCACCTGCTGGTGGCTTTCAACAGGTACGTGCTCATCACCAAGCTGCCCAGCGTGTACCAGGCCCTCTACCAGCGGAGACACACGGGCTGCATGATCGGGCTCTCCTGGGCCCTCGCCCTGCTCCCGGTCCCGCTGCTGCCCGGGCTCTGGACCCTGGGCTCAGCCCAGTCGGACGGCAGCTCTCGCTACACCGCCCTGCTCCTCGCCCTGGCCGTGCTGGGCCAGACCGCGCTGCTGCTCCACTGCTACCTCGGCATCGTGCGGCGGGTGCGGGGCAGCGCCAAGCGGGTCAGCGTCCTCAACTTCCACCTGCTGCACCAGCTGCCCTTCCCCGCCGCGCCGCCGCCGCCTCGCCGCGCCCAGCGCCGCCTCAGCAGCGTCTCCGTCCTGCTGCTCTGCTGCGTGTTCCTGCTGGGGACTCAGCCCCTGGTCTGGGTCAGCCTCCTGGGCTTCTTCCTGCGCCCGGCGCCGCCGGCGCTGCAGGCCGCCAGCTGGCTGCTGCTCTGCTCGCTCTCGGCCCTCAACCCGCTGCTCTACACGTGGCGCAGCGAGGAGTTCCGCCGGGCGGCCCGCTCCGTCCTGCCCCGCGGCGATGGCCCGGCCGCCGCCCCCCGCCCCTCAGCCGCCGCCGCGGGCCCCGCCGGCGCCCCGCCCTGCCCGCAGCTGCCGCGGCGCCGGGGCACGGGGAGCAGCGCCAGCGCTGCGGCCGCGCCGCGCTGAGGGGCCGGGGCGGCGCCGGGACCCCCGCGGGCCCCTCAGGCCTCTCCGCCGCCCCCGCCTGCTGCCGCCGCCCCCCGGGCAGCCGAGCTGTCCCGGCCCCGGCCCCTGCCCAGGCAGCGCTTCATCCTCTACACGTTCTCCTGTTGCCCCTTGCTGATCCCACGCACTTCTTTCCCGCTCCTCTTCCACCGCACGGCCGGGCAGCGCCGGGTGCTTCCCGAGGCACCGGCACGGACACTGGGGCGGGATCTCCCGCTCGCCCCCTCAGCCCCGCTCCCGGCACGGCCCCTCTCCGCCCCCAGAACCGGCCAGGACTCCAGGCAAAGCGGTGCATTTAGGAATCTGGGATAACCGGTAAATATGGCAACGCACGTAACTGTTGTTATGCTCTAAAGATTTCAGTATGAGACAGGCACCTAGACAGCTCTTTCTGAGACACATGCAAGTTTGTTTTTATAAAATCGATGTAATTCTTTCAGCATTTAAAGTAGTCCTTTGAATTGAGCTCCCTGAACACAAGGTTCGTTCGTGAAGAACTGGCAGGTGTCTCATTCCACACACACGCACACAGACACCGGGAGCAGCTTCCTTTCCCCCAGCATACCTGATCTCTGTGCTCCATGCAAGACCCTCCTTCAGCTTTCTCTGGCAAATTTCGGGATGATGCTGTCTGTGGAAACTGTTAAAAACAAAAACATATACACCTTTGTGGTGATCTGGTTTGGATATTTTGTTTTGAAAGCTCTTTAAGGCCTGTTTTAACAAAGGCCTTTGCCCACGGGCACTCGATAAAATACAATGCAATATGAAGACTGGTGTTGTCCATCTAACCTTGTTCAGTTACCGGTTTGTTGTGTTTCTCTTAGATTTATTATTGCAGAACTATGATTTCACAGCCTCTGCCAGATACAAAATAACAGATTCTGTGTGGCATTTGGAAAGGAGACAGCTCCTCGCACTGAAACTGCGGTGGTGAGTGCTGCAGGCTCATTCCTCCCAGGAATGGTCTTAAAATCCTTGTATTTCTTTCTCTGTTAGCTTGAATTCCTCCTTCCTCTTTTCCAACGCAGTTGCTGTTGTTCTCATGGTGATGATACTTAGTGCTGTGTTTGCCTTTTGGCACAAATATCTGGAAGAAGGTAGTTGCTTTCTGAATCCTTGGGCATCCACAAGCAGTGTCACCTAAGTTGTGCTGTCACGTGAAGAATGGACACATGGAACATAGGAAACTTTGTCACAACAAGAGCTTGTTGCACTGAGTCACTCAGCTTAGAACTCTCAGGAGGATAGTTTAATGATGGGGTAATAACAAGGAAAAGACACACATGCTAGATAGTAACATAAAAGACTCTTTGGCCATATTTTATAATGCCCCACACACTTTGCTTGCTTTACCTGGTGGAGTTTCAGTTTCCACAGAAGATGCTTTAAGAGAAAGGGGGTATTATTTTTTTTTTCCCAAGACTGAGACCTGTTAGGTATCTCTGATACAATGATGTATCTAAAAGCCCTATACCAATATTTTGTGTCCTTGCATTAAAAAAATCTCCATCATCACAGAAGAGATACTTGTTAAGGTCAGGATTTGAAAACCACAAAGAATGAAGGATTCAGAAGGTTGTTTGTTTTTTTCAATTGACATCCAGAAAATGTATAAACATCTTGAAAACAGCTTTTGCCACTTGCAAGCACCTGTGGAAAAGTAAAATTAGTTTCCTTGAGTCTGAGGCTTACAGAAAGCTTCTTCCTTCATCCTGGAGATAGCGTTCCTCTGAGTGATGCCATCAGAAAGATGCGGAGGGCCAGCAAAGGAAATATTGAACATACAAGATACACAGGATATATTTTACTGACACTGTGCACATATCTTGGAGAGTAAAGGAGCCACTATATACTTGTTGTAATATCTCATCCTAATCACAGTGGCTGTGCTTTAGCTGTCTGTGTAGCAAATGGAGAAAGAAAACTGCTTCAACCTCACCTATTCCAATACTGGAAAATATTCTGGTTCACTTCCAAAATAATGCTCAACCAAGGGCCGCCCGAGGGTAAGACCCTGTTCAACTACAAAATTATCCTTAGGCTGGAACCCAGAGAAGAATGCATATTGTCACCTCCCACCATGGCTAAAGGAACTCAAGACACTTGGTAAAGCTCAATACTGAGCCCATATGCAAAAAAAAAAAAAAAAAAAAAAAAATCTAACTCTAAAATAAAAAATTAGACAATGCCTCTCCCCTGTTTTTGGCTATGGAACACATTAGTCTGGAATTAAAGCAATAACATGTTTCAGAATTCAATGTCCAAACCATCAGATAACTGGAACTTCTGGGCTTCTTCCCTTGTAAAATAGCATGCAAGTTAAATCTGAAATGCCTGTATTTTCTATAGACCACATTTTAAATGAAAACATGTATAAAAATGCTATGATGTACGAAACTCTAGACAGCTATCCTTATGCTATGCATCAATTCCAGAAAACAACTGGAAATCCCTTGGAAAGTTTGATGTAATTACATCTGACTGTAAATCTTTGACTGTTTTAATATACTCAGGTGACCTAAATAACATTACGCAGAAAAAAATTGAAAGTAATTACGAAAGAGTATTTGTCTCAAGATCAGTTTCTCTGAGAAATTACTGCTCTGAAGAGTCCTGTATGCCTTGTTCTACAGCCATAATCTTTGTATTTCCACATTGTAAATACTCCATGGTAAATTGCAATGGAAGCTGGCTTGGCTCAAGTTCTCCTGGCTGTGTGGTACTGCTTCTTGGTTAAGGAAATGGATTTCATTCTCAGTTTTTGTCATTCTATGCTTTAATTTACAGGTGATTTATATGTGTCCTGTGCTAGTATAGTGGTGATTTTTCTTCAAAGTGAATTTCTGTCATGTTCAAACAACTAATTTACAGACACAAGGATATGCTGCCAGTTGTCCTTTAAAATGTCTCAACCAAACACTTTTTCAAGAGGTGTAAATGAAGATGATGGAAAATCCTGTCAGCAATTCAAATGAGATTTGCTTGAACTGAGTTGCTCCCTTCCTCTGGTGTTGTGTCGATCAAGTTGTCTGAGCATGGCCTGAAGCTGCCCTTCCTAGATTGGCTGGCATTGACATGTCTTAGCTGGCTTCTTGTGCTTTAGATGGGAGGTGAGAGCTCATAAAGCATTGAATTTATGATGCAGTAGTGCAGGTCAGCCCCGTAGTTCAGGTGCTATAGTTGTCTATTCCTTTGCTATTTTCTCTGGGCTCCTGGAAACAAGAGCAGGTAGGAGTTAGTAATAGTCTGGATGAATCGTGGCCAGTTGCACTGATGTGCTTGAAAAGTGCAATTTGGTGTATTGTGGCCCAAATAAGTCTGCCACTCAGTTTGTGGATTGCCCATACAGAAATACATGTGGCAACTGTTGTTTGAAAGTAAAATTGTGATGCCTCAAAATAATATCCTGAGGCATGGGTTATTTGTGAAAATTGCTTGTAGAGGGTGTTCCTGGAATTTGGATTCAATCTTTTGAAGTCGTCTTTAATTCAAAATAGTCGTAAAACGCCATAGAGCTGCTTTGTGAAATTAGGTAGCTACAACAATATGAGACTCCACCAAAACTGGACAATCATTGCCCTCAAAAAAGGTGTGTAAAAAAGTACAGGCAGCAAGGTGAAGCTGGAAAATTATGACAAGGGGAGATGAAGAAGGCAGGACAGGGGCACTAACAGTTTGATCCTGAGAAACAACACAGAGAAAAATCTGAAAGCCAGAAGAGGCCTGGGATTACGATAAAATTAAACATCTCCAATTCTTTGATTCTTTGTATGTGAAGAAATAGAATTCTGTGCTTTTCTTAATAAATAAAAACATGCACTTGTATTCTCTATTTCTTCCTTTAACAAAGCATTCCATACACCAACAAATTTTCTTTAAACTCTGAAATCAAAAAAGATATGAGTTGCATCAGCAGTCTTGTGGAGACTGCATTCAACAGCAGTACTGGACTGACAAGCAGAGATAACATCTTAGCTAACCTCCAGATTCAGTCAGCCATAAGCACACTGTGAACCTTTTTTTCTAACTACCAAGTTGATGCTATTTTTAAAAAAACCCACATACAGATTATTTTCAAATGAAGACATTTAAGTGTAGCATTTCATTAAAGAAAAAAGTGACAACATATACTTTAGCTTTCTATTTCATCTTAAATCACATAACTAGATTATTGCAATATTCTTTAAATTCAGAAGTCCCTTTCTCAAATGGCAGCGAAAATAGCTTTTCTCGTGACTGTTTAACTTCTAAGAAAGCTACTTTTTTTTGCTCTTTTATGTCAATCCTTCCCATGCACTGTCATCATTTTACCAGGGTAATAGTCTATTTTCTTTCCTTCTCTTTCCCTTTCTTCAGTATCTCCTGTAATTTTCTTCACTAAGGGAAAAGTTCTTGATTCTTCTGATCAGGGCACAACTGTTTGAACAGGGTAAGTTTTGGGAGACAATTGTAAACTAAGACTAAATAAGTCATGGACAAATCCCACATACTTAAATTTCTATTTAAAGAGTGAGTAGGTGTTGAAGTTGGGCTTTTACTGTGCAGAGCAGTGGACAAATTCTTTGTCTATATTTACAGATATTTGCATTTGAGTAAGGCTGTGTAAAAAAAGCTTAATATGGAAAAAAAAATCCAAAAAAAGTTGAAGGCTGGAGAAAAAACCTTTTTGTCTGAAGAGTTCAGTCATAGTAACTTAACAAAAGTGGCATCATTACAGAATATGCACATTTATGCTTATTAGGCTTACCAATCTGTTACCATACATGGTGATCTGATGATCTCTTCTGGTGTGGAAAACACGACCTTACAGGAAAATAGCTCTGCTTGAAGAGCGTGGGCCACCTTGTCTGTTTATTGTCAAGGAGCTCATCATGGTAAGGGCCCCTGTGCAGTCTGCCCTACATCGAGTCTGGATGAATATTCATGAAAATAAAGAACTGGAAACAATCCTGAGAAAA